TGACCGCAAAGAAACAGGGGGGTGGTGTGTGTTATTGAACCTCCAACCAAAAGGCAACCTGTCCCTGCAGTCCTGGACATGCTGGCGGGTGGGTGGGCAGTGGGCCTGTGAGCTGGGGGATCAGCTGTCATCACTGAAAATGGCCATGGAATGTGCCGACTCAATCCAGGTTAACTAGGGTGCTGCTGACTTCTCAGAGCGGCTCAGCCAGACCTGCCCTGGCTTCCTCTGTTTTCTGACCAGCTCTAGGAATAGAACCAAGACAGGCTGAATAAGGAAGCTTCATGGCACGAAGAAAAGCAGAAGTGGGAGCCCCGAAGGCCTGAACCTCAGGGGGTTGAGGCCTCAGGTCCATCTGGGGCCCTGGCAGTGTTGCAGGTGGTGTCTCTGCTAGAGACGGGACCATGTGGCTGCCCCCGGCTCTGCTGCTTCTCTGGGTCTCAGGTGAGGGGCTCTCTGCCCAGGGTGGGTGCGCAGGAGGAGGGAGCTGCAGGGGGTGTCACTTGAGTTGCCCAAGCCTGCAGAATGGGATGCCCTCTGCCCACTACAGAGGATGGATAGACAGAGGACGGCATCCCTGGGAGGGGAAGGGGCAAGGGTCTCTCCCACTCTGCACACACGTGACCTTAGACCAGCCACAGTGGGGTGTGGAGCAAAGGGTGGGCACAGAGGAAGGGCTTCGTGGGTAGTTTGGGGATGAATTATTACAGGATGGAGGGCAAGAGCGGAATGTGTCAGAGTGGGAAGAGAGTGACATCTGTTTGTTGAGCCACGAGGGGGGAAATGGGGGGGGGGTGTCATCCTGGCCCCTAGGTGCAGGGTGCAGAGCGGGTAAGGACTGGGGAAGAGCAGACTGTTCGTCTCAGGACAGAGACAAACCAGGGCAGCTCGGGGGCTGGGGCCTGAGCAGGGAGGGATCAGAAGGCAGATGTGGCTGGTGGGGCCTGGGGACCAGGGGTAAGTCTCCACAGAGGGGAGATGGGACAGACAAAAGAGGGAAGGAGGCAGGGAGGGTGGGGAGAGAAGAGAAACCGGACAGGGGTGGTGGGAGACTTTCGGTGGGGGGAGACGTTCGTTCTCCGGCAGACGCGGCTTCCTCTCATGCATTCACCATCTGTGCCCCCAGGAGTGTAGCTCTCCCTCCCCGGGTCCTGGGCAGTCTTGTCCCAGGAGATTTTACATCTTTTTGGTTGCTTTTCTTATAGGCTGGAGGTTTTTTTAATTCTACTTCCTAGCCAATTGTCTATGGAAAAACTATCATCGTTTGTGTGTTAATTTGGAAATGGGTCACCTTTCACTACCAGCATATTCCAGCTGATTCTCAGAGTTCTCCAGTTTTGTTGTTGTTGTTGTTGTTGTTGTTATTGTTTGTTTATTTTTTTAAGATGGAGTCTCACTTTGTCACCCCCTGGATAGAGTGCCTAGGAGTGGTAGCTCCCAGCAACCTCAGACTCTTGGGCTCAAGCAATTCTCTTGTCTCGCCTCCCAACTAGCTGGGACTACAGACAACCACCACAACACCCGGCTATTTTTTTAGATAGAGATGAGATCTTGCTCTGGCTCAAGCTGGTCTCTGACCAAAGAGCTCAGGAGATCTTCCTACCTCGGCCTCCCCAAGTGCTGAGATTATAGGTGTGAGCCCGGCGTGTGGATTTCTCTTGTTTTCGAAGAACCTGCCTGCGTAGAGCGTTTTCAGTTTCTGACATCTGTTTCTCTTTCTCTCATCGACTCATTTGGCTGGTACTGCCAGAATGATGCCCAATGGCCAAGGAGGTAGCAGTCATCCCTGACTCATCCGTGACTCACGGGAAGGTGGCCAGTCTGTCACATTTGTCACATTTGGTATGAAGAATGTGTCCACTGATGTCTGTTTATGAAGCATTTTTTTAAACAATGGCAACAGCTGTCAGACGCTTTTACGTTATCCATTAAGATGATTACTTTTTTCCTCTTTTCAGCTATTAAGGAGGAGAATTATATGAAGAGATCTGGCCAGATTTTAGTCTTGATGTATTCTGCTGGCTTTATGAAAATAATTAGAAAGATTTCCCTTTTTTATGTTCTTTGCAAATATTTAAATAAAATAGGGATTGCCTATTCCTTGAAGATTTGAGAGAAGTAACTTGTGAAACTGGGTTTTGCTTCTCTTCTTGTTGGGGAAGGGAAAGGCTTTCCTGACAACACTCATTATTATTAGTCTATTTTTTTAAAACCCATTCTTTGTCTACATTAGGAATTTATATCTTACCAGAAAATCATCAGCTTCATCCAGGTTTACAGACTGATTTGCAAAGACTTGTAAATTAACCAATTAACCTGCTTATTTTTCTTTTAAATTGTATATCTGTGTCTTCTTCTTTTTTCTTGATCTGGCTACCCCCTGGTCTATTCTATTATTCACCCCTCCCAAAAGAAAAATCAGTTTGTCAATGTATAGGCCAATTCCACTGTTTTCCTGTTTTCTCATTCACTAATTCCTGTGGATTTTTCTGAAAGATCAATGTGTTTTTTTCTGTGCTGGGTGTGTATACATCTTCCCCTCCTGGCTCCCTCTCCTGGATGGTTCACTCATTTATCTGGGATTTAGTGGGACTAGACTTTGTTCAAGGGCAGCATTAAGATGACAGAGACAGGTCCTGGTCCTGGTAGAGGGGTTCTAGACACAGGGAGGACCCTGGCGCCAGGGCAGTCTCCTGCTTAGAGGGCTGGGGTGACGAGAAAGAATAGAGAGAGCCCCGAGAAGCCAGCTGGGAGTGTGTAAGTAAGCGTGAATGCTCCAGGCAAGTGGAGGAGCGAAACTGAAGGGTTTTTGATATTTTTCAATCTCTGGATAATAATGGCACCTTCACAGGCTGGGCAGAGCTCTTAGGGGACTGGGTGATGATTTTTACCCAAGATTTCAGAGGGGAGAAGTAAATCAGGAGAGAGAGAGAGAGAGGGAGAGAGAGACCGAGTCCTAAAGGAAGTCAGACACTGGAGAGGGAACAGGACACAGGATCAGGTGCTGTGGGCAGGTGTGAGGATCACCCAGATCAGGAGAGGAACTAAGACCAGGCAAAAAAGAGCACAGTTCACAGCCAACGAGAGGCACTGAATAGAGTCGGGACAGGGACCAGGAACAGACTCGGGTGAAGGAGGGCTGGGGGCTGACATTTACTTATTAAGCACTTATTATGTGTTAATTTCAGTGATTTGTGTTTGTTTAGAGAATCACACATTCATCCAAGTTTGCACAATTATTAGCAAAGACTTTCTCTAAAGCGCCCATCTTGAATCTTTTCATTCTGTCTGCATCTGTGGTTATTTCCCTTATCATTTCTTACTTACACATGAGTCAGGGGGTTATGTATCTTTATGAGATCAAGTCATATGAAATCCTGTCGTCTCAGTCACAAAGTTGAATATCAACAATTACATGCAATTCAGCCTAATGTTATTTGCCTTTATCATCTCATTCAATGCCTTCAACTGCCATGTTGAAGGGTAGGGACAATTATCACCACTTTACAGATGAGGCATCTGAAGCTCAGAGAGGTTAAGTAACTTGTCCCAGAACACACAGCTGGTACATAATGGAGCCTAGACTTACACCCACATTCCTCTGAAGCCTGTTCTACTTCAATGTGACAGTTGCTCCTGAGCATCTCAGTAAATGTCCCACCTGTGACAGCTTAAAAGGACTTGCACATCCAAGTCAGGAGAGGAGGCTCTGGTGGCTCCTGGGAGAGGCACTGAGGAGCTTGCGGTCATCTTTCGGCAGCTGTGAGCTGGTGGTGTGGGGAAGAGTTTCACCCTGAAGAGTTTATTGAGGGTCTATCATGTGCAGGCACCTGGAGACACTCAAGATGTAAGAAAGAGACCCCTACCCTCCTAGGGCTTGCATTTGAGTTGTCCCAAAGTCTCAAGTGAGGGGATTTAAGAATGTGAAAAGGTAAGTAAAATTCAAGAGTTCTAGCCCTAAGAAAAGAGAGCAAGCCCTCCCCGCCCACTGCACCATCATCCCCCACCTATATGGGGCCTGATCACAGAATTACACAAATCTTAGAAATAAAAATAAGCTTCTTGGCCTGTCATGGTGGCTTATCACTATAATCTTAGCACTTTGGGAAGCCGAGGCAGGAGGGTGGCTTGAGACCAGGAGTTGGAGACCACCCTGGACATCACAGCAAGACCCTGTCTCTAAAAAACAAATGAGCTTTATTGAAAATTAAGTCTACAAGGGCTGGGCAAATTAAGGAAAGACACAACATAAAATGAAGGCTGTCGCTGGAGAGCCTTCTGCATTTGTAAATCCATTTTGACCCACACGCTGGATCAGGAGTGTCCAGCATCTTGTCAAAATGGTTTGGCAGCCCTAGTGCCGGCCAAGCCACTATGAGAGATGTCCTCCCTGTCCTGAGATGTCCAGGGCCAGGTAGCCCTCCTGGGAGAGCAGGTACTTAGGGGTGAATTCTTATGGTCGTCATAGGTTTGGAAGTAGGAAGGCCCTGGCTGGTGAGAGAGGGGTAATATCGGTGTTTAAAGGAAGGGCTTGCTGTAATCAAAACCTAAGGGGTCAGGTTGAGCAAGGTGGCTCATACCTTTAATCCCAGCAATCTAGGAGGCCAAAGAGGGTGGATTGCCTGAGTTCAGGAGTTTGCGGCCACCTGAACAAGAGACTGACCCCATCTCTACTAAAATAGAAAAAACTAGCCAGGCGTGGCAAACACCGGCAGTCCCAGTTACTCAGGAGGCTGAGGCTAGAGGATCACTTGAGCCCAAGAGTTTGAGGTTGCTGTGAACTAGGATGCCACAGCACTCTATCCTGGGAGACAGCATGAGATTCTGTCTCAAAAACAAAAACCTCGGGGATGGCAGAGCAGAGGGGAGATGCCCAAGGTGTGATGACCAGAACAGTGATGGAAAGTGAAGGAGTGGGGGGCTCTGGGCCAGGGCAGCTGATGCAGAGCGGGGGAACCTCTGGAGGAGGTGACTCTCCCAGAAGAGTGCCCCTAAGCCGGGCCCATCTGGGGTTGAGCCAGACTCAGGCTTATGTTTTCCAGGCTGTTGCTCTCTGACGGGCCCTGACACCATGACGGGCACCGTGGGGGGCTCCCTGAGTGTGCAGTGTCAGTACGAGGAGGACTACAGGGATGCACAGAAATACTGGTGCAGAAAAAAAATTGTATCACTTTTACCATGTGACAAGATTGTGGAGACACAAATACCAGACAGAGAAAGGAGGATCAACCGAGTATTCATCAGGGACAACCCTGCAAACCTGACCTTCACAGTGACCATGGAGCACCTCACAGTGACGGATACAGGCACATACTGGTGTGGTATCAACATACCCGGAATGTTTGATCCTAACTTCAAGGTTAAGGTGTCCGTGTCCCCAGGTGAGCCCCTCCTTCAGTCAGCACCAGGGCTACCTGCAGAGGCTCAGGTTGGAATAGCAGGAGCAGGAATCAGATCAGACATGGAGCAGACTGTGTATGTGTGTGTGTGTGTGAGAGAGAGAGAGAGAGAGAGACAGGGAGGTACCCAGAGCAGCTGGCATCTCTGCCCAGCGTTGGCAGATGGAAGGTGCTCGGGGGTGAGATGGGGAAGCTGAGAGAGCAGAGCATGCCAGGAAGAGGACGGCACCTGTGGCTGGACCCCACAGGAAACAGTGAGCCACATGGGGAGGGGGCTCTGATCAGGGCTGGTGGTAAAGGGGCTGCCTGCTGGGAACTTAACGGAGGACAGTCAGATGTGTGGTTTAGACTGGTTTCTCTGCGGCATGTGGCTATGGCAGGAGGGGACAAGACTGGGTATAGGGAGGGGACTTAGGAGTTTCAGGAGTGCCCTGACCCTCACAGCAGGACGGACTCAGAGCCTGTGTCCTGCTTGAAAATGCTCACTGGGTGAAAAGAGTCCTGGAGTGACTTTGGTCCAGGGTCCTCCATCCAGCCTCCTTCCTGAGTGAACATTTTGAGTTATTCAAATCATAAAGGCATTAGCATTTAGGGGGAGAATCTGAGGGGAGATCTCTGGGTCTGATCTGTGGTTTTGCCACCAGCATCAATACCAGTGGTGCCAACAAGAATCACTACAGCCCAGACCTCAACAGCCACAAGTGAAGACCCAACTGTGCCGTCTACAACCTTGTGTGCAGTGAGTGCCACTCACAGCGCAAGCATCCAGGAAGACTCCAAGCAGAGCCCATGGTAAGGTTCTGTGACGTGGAGGTGGGCCTTGTCCTCAGAAGGCTTCCAGAGGAGGGTGCCTAGCCTTGTGCTCCAGTGGGAGATGAGAGTCACACTCTTGCTGGGCCCTTAGGCCCCCTTTGCCCCAGGCCCCAAGGTTGGAAGCCAGAGCCTGCACATCCTGGTGTGGATTGCTGAGGCCATGCTGGGCTTGCCCTAGTGTTTGAGAGAAGCCTCAGGCCAGGGAGAAGTTAGGGGCGATGGGTGGATGGAAGGTGGTAGTTAGTGAGAGCTGGTGATATCCCACCAGGCATGTGCTTAATCTTCACATGAGTCATCTTATGTGCCCCTCACTGCAATCCTGCCCTGTTCTCATCCTTACTTTATAGACGAGGAAACCAAGGCTCAGAGAGGTTAAGCAACCTGCCCAGTCAGGGCGCCATGAGAGGCAGGGCTGGGCTTCCAATACAAAGACTTGTGTTCTCCCCTCTGAATTGAGGGGGAGGGGTCACCAACCCCTCAGAGAATCTGACACCATCTATAGACTTTCTCTCCACAAAAATGTATGCAGTTATGAACCATTTCTGGGATTCACAGGCCCCGTCTTCTCACACCAACTGGGGCACGGCAATGTAGTCCTGGTGCTACTGACCTGAAGTCAGCGTGGACACCACAGGATAAGGGCCCTGACCTCCACAAGACCATCCTCCTTCAGATGTCGGCCAGACTTTAGGGATCCCCAGGCCACAGCAATTCTCACCAACTGGCTACAAATTAGGGGGTTCCCAGGATGCCTTTGGGTCAGTAATTTGCTAGGTTTAGGATTCCAGAAAGCATGATCCCTATAGTCACAGTTTTATACTGAAGCCTACAGACCAGGACCAGCCAATGAAGAGACACATCAAATGAGGCCTGGGAGGGTACCCAATAGCTTCCATGCCCTCTCCGGGTGGAATCATGGAGCACCGCCCCCCAGGACATCAGTGTGTTTGCCAACCAGGAAGCTCCTCCAAGCTTTGTGTCTAGTGGGGTTTCATTACACAGGCAAGATTGACTGATCATTGCCCACGCCACGGATTCTACCTCCATCCTCTCTCCTTCTCCTGGAGGTGGGGCCGACTCAGAGCCCCGAACCTGTAATTACATGGTTGGTGTTTCAGGCAACCAGCTCGTATGGTTAGCTCACCTGTTAGCAAAATTCAAGTGTCATCCGTGAACAACAAATACACTCCTATTATTTTGAAAATACCAAGGATTTAGAGCCTTCCTCCCAGGAAACCGGGACAAAGGCTGACCTGGGTCTTTACCATCCAATACTTCGGAAGCCCTTCCAGAGGGTTCTGTCTGCCAACCCAGAGTCACACTCGTAATATCAGACAAATATGCCAAATCCAGAAGTTGACCCCATGGATATACATGGCTGGCAAATCTGTTTTGTTTTGTGTTGGTTTTAGGTTAACGTACGGGTATAAATGATTAGGTTACGTTGTTTGCATTTGTTCGGTAAAGTCCAAGTTGTAGTTGCGCCCATTAGGTGATAGCCTACAGAATCCCCGCCTTCCTCTCCCCCAACTTGGATTTAATTGTGTTTTTCTCTAGTGCGGGCGTGTAGTTGTTCATCTAATGGTTTCATATCAGTATTGAGTACATTGGATGATTGCCTTTCCGTTCTTGTGATACTTTACTAAGGAGAATGTTTTTCACCTCCATTCAGGTTAATACAAAAGATGTAACGTCTCCACCTTTTTTATAGCTACGTAGTATTCCATGCATATACCGCCGTTTATTATCCATTCATGGGTTGATGGGCTCTTGTGTTGTTTCCACGTCTTGGTGATTGTGAACTGAGCTGTGATAAACATTCTAGGGCAAATGTCCGTATGGTAAAATGATTTTTTTCTTATGGGTAAATGTCTAATAATGAGATTGCAGGGTCCAGTTGAAGGTCTACTTTGAGCTCTTTGAGAATGCTACATCTTTCCAAAAGGGCTGTATTAGTTTGCAATCCCACTAACAGTGTAAAAGTGTTCAGGTTTTAGGGGGCCTGAAGCCTGGCTGTGTCGGTGTCACAGCTGACCTGCGGCTGCTTGTCCAAGTGGGAAATGGTGAAGCTGTGAGGCAATTTATTGCAGCAATGTTTGCAATTGCAAAAGATTGGTGTTTGGGGGGAAATACCCATTCAGAGGGAAGAGCTCAATAAATTGCGGTCTATCCATGTAATTGATACTATGCACCCACGGAAAAGAATGCCGGGCTTCTCTGTATAGTGACCAGGAAAGATCTCCAAGCTGTATTGTTAAGTAAACCCAGACTAGTGTTTATACTATGCCTCCTTTGTGCAAAAAAAGAAGGGAAATAATGTACATTCATATTTGTCTGTATACGAATAAAGAACCCTCTGGAAGCTTCTTAAGTACATTGCATGCAAGTATCGGGGGGAAGGCTAGGGGCTGTGTAAGTGGGGTGTGTTGAAAGGAGGTTTTATACTGTCTCCTTTTTAAAAGTCTGACCTTAACTATCTCTTTAAAAATTCAGGGAAGGCACGGTCACCCACACCCCTGCCTCCATCCCACACCTCCGGCCTCCCTCTAGGCTTGCCCTGCTGCTCTCCTTCCTGGTGATCTTACTGCTCCTGTTGGTGGGGACCTCGCTGATATTATGGAGGAAGTTTCAGAAGCCAGTCAGAGGTGAGTAGCTCCCCGAGCCTCTCTGCCTGACCACAGCCTCTCTCCTCCGAAAGGCCGGGTCCTAGGTCCTCAGAATGGATGTCGAGGGCTTATCCTCCAACCACGTGTCTGGGAGGCAGTGTCCCTGGGGGGTGGGGTGGGGTGGTTACAGGTTGTGGGAGGTGGCTCCCCAGAGCAAGGTTTTTCCACTGAGGGGCCCGGGCGTGGTGGCCCTGTGAAGCAGTGGCCCTCTTCTGTCTAAAGCCCATGCACGGCCTCCCATACCCTCAAATGGGCTCTGTGGGACAGTCAATCCCCCCCTCCCCACCACAATGATCTGGCCCTGCCCTCCTCTCTCCCCCTGTCTTGGGTCCCGGAACGCAGCTTCTTACTTCTCTTTGTATTCTGACAAGAGCCACAAACTCAGTCTCTCCTGGGTTTGTGCTGGGTGCCTGCAGTGTCCCCTGCCCTCCCTCCCTGGCTCATCCTGCTGGAATCCAAAGGCTGCCTTCAGATATCCTTCATTTCCTTGGGACCTTTTCCGTGTCCCCATAGAGTGGTTTGGGCCCTCCTGCTTGTAACCCCTGAACCTGTCCTGTCATGACCATTTTAGAACCAGATTGTCACCTCCTGCTTCCCTGCCTTCCTTCCCACCAGCCCGTGTGTTCCTTCAGGTCAGGGACCCTGACTCGAGAAGGTTCTCCATCATTAATTGTCAAATTAATGTATTATTTACTATCTCCAGCCATGATGGGCACCCCAGGGAGCTCCGGGCATTCTCAAGTCCAGCTGCCCTCCTCCGAGTGAGCACAGATTAGAGAGAACCTGTACTCTGGCACTCAGCAGGTGTTCAAATAAATCACTGATAAGTGAATTGAATAAGTGAAAGAACAGGGCAACCCGTGGAGGAGGGGCCCTTCTTGTTACTGGCTGGAGGCCCTAGGCTTTCCCAGGAAGGATTTGCCTGAGATGAAGCCTGAGCCTTAAGTTTCCTCCCTGTCCCAAGAGCTGGTGATTCCAAGTGAGCCAAGGATTCTCAGGGGAACCTGCATCTGCTGAAGCCTTTCAGGGCTGCCATGAGATTGAGGTGGGAAGACAAAGGGCAGCTCTGTCCCCCAGCTCAGGACAAGCTGTTGGGTATGGACGGGGACACTGCTCCACACTGTCCCCCACGCCCTCCCCCAGGGTCCCAGCCTCAGCGCGTCTGTGCAGGACACGTGGAAAGGAAACCACTTCCTGTTCCCATCTGCTCCACTGCGTCCTTTTCTGGTAACCTTCTCCTAAAATACAGACCCATAGGGACGTCACTGGCCACATGGGACCTTCCCTCTGGCTGCTTGGTGCCCTTTCACCTAGAAAGGCTCTCGCTCCTCAAGAGCCTCCTCCCCCTAAAAAAAAAAGAACTTATGATTATTGTAGAAAATTTGAAAAATGAGTAAAACTCAAAAAAGGAAATGAATTCCCCACCCATGGCCTTTGGGGTATGTCCTTCCAGACTTTTTTCTTTATCTATGCACTTAAGATTTCGTAATGAATTTACTTCAATTATGAATTCTTTTTTAAAACTATATTTTTGCACTTAGCGTAGTGAACATTTCCTCTGCTATTAAATGTATGTGCAGATTACACTTTAAACGGTAAATAGACCACTTTTAAATGGTCCTCGGTGACAGGAGGACGGCTTTTGTGCTAGCACCCTGACCCTGCCTCTCCCTCCAATCCCCACAGGAGAACCTCTCCTGACAGTGGCTGGGGCTGCCCCTCAGCCTGCCACCTGCCTGCCTCATCACACCCACTCCCCAAGCCACTCTTGTCACTCATTGCTTCATACACAAAGCTATCCTGAGCCCCCACTGTGTGCCAGAGCTATGCTGGCCCTGGGGACACCAGTGTGACCAGGACAAACTAGGTGTTGCCTTCAGGGAGCTTTCTATGTGACTGGCTGCCCCCAAATCTCACTTCCACCTCCTTCCTTCTGAGTCCCACCAGCTCTATTCCACCTTCCCGTCAGAACATCTGTCCTGGGGGAGGGGACAGAGGGTGGTATGGAGCCTGCACACAGCATCCAGAAGCAGAATGCTTCACACCCAGAGCACCTGGTTGTGTGTTCTGAGTCAGCTGATGGCTCAGCAAGATGCATGGCATTGTGCCCCAAACTGTGGGCTGCTCCCCTTTGACTCTGGGGGCTCCCTAAGGGCGGATGGTGGTTCTGCCTGTCGCATCAGGGAAGTAGGCTGGCTGTGGACCTAGACCGGGACATCTGGCTATGTATACATTACCCACTGCCCACCGGTCCTGGCTCCAGGTTGAAAGGGTCAGGGGACCCAGAGCGGTGATCAAAGGCAGGATCCCCACCGAGCAGATGCCAGAAGCCAGAGGCTGTGTAAGCCTGAGCTATGGTCCCATGAGGCTGACAGGCCACCTTCCCTCTGGTTCCCAGCCTGGGAGGGCAGACCCCAGGAGTAGGGGTCAGAGCAGAGGCCCGGGGGCCTCACACCACTCTGATGCACCTTTAGGTCCCTGCACACGCAGGTCCCTTTGGTGACAGTCTTCCTCCCGAGTCTTCTCCCACCTGGGAACATTTTTTGAAGTAGAAATACTGAGAGCCAGCTTTGTTTGGGCCCCTTTCCTCCAGCTGGGATCTTTCACTCATTCATTCATACATTCATTTATCCACTCACTCATTGACTAATTCACTTGCTCAACAACCCTTAAGCTACTACCATGCTTCAAACCCAAAGGGGTAGGTTCCCAGGGCTGAGGTCCCTGGGAAAAGTCCTATTATAAATGGATCCTAGGGCTCCCATCCCCACCCTTGGTCTGGGTTTCCACCTCCTTGCTCTCCTCTTGTCTCTAGCTGGTGAGCATTTGGAGCTGTCCCAGGGTCCCAGGCAGGTAAGGGAAACTACAGCAGGAGGTGGGTCAGGTGGCTGCGTGGGTGGGAAACAGAGGGGTATTGGGGAGATGGACAGTCTCATTGGCCAAGGGGGTGCTGGATGAATGGTAGATGGATGGAGTAAGAGGCTCTCCCAGAGCAGGAGAAGCAATGCCTGGGAGATCTAATCACCAGGTATTGTCTCAAGCTCTGGCCAGGGGGCTGGAACGGTGAAATGAGGGAGGGTCCTTCCAGCTAGACTGGCCTGGGAGCATTCAGATGCTGCCCAGAGCAGATGGGGGGCTGGGTGGCACGGAGGCAGGGCAGGAAAGTAGAGGCTGGGCATCCGGAACATGGAGGAAGGGGGGAACATGGAGTGAAGATGGGAGGCTCAGAGGCTCTGGAGCTCTGTGGACACCTGCCCAGCACCTCCCGCCCACCCCAGGCTGCCGAGCAGAGTGAGGAACACTACGTGAATCTGGAGCTGCTGGCGTGGCCCCTGCGGGAAGAGCCGGCACCACCGAAGCAGGTGGAAGTGGAATACAGCACCGTGGTAAGCACAAGAGCCTGCGGCCCGGGCATGAGAGCCCTGGGCTATGGGAGGCAGCTCCTGGTGGGGGCAGAGAGGGAGGGGCCAGCTTGGTGGCCTTGTGCCTCTCCAGGACAAGGCCACTGGGAAGATGGGTAAGTGTAGATTTTTGTCAGAGCAGAGCCGACAGTTAACAAAGTACAGCATTTATTAAGCGCCTACTGCATGTTGTATGCCTGTGATTTCTCCTTGGGTTTTTTTTTTTTTTTTTTGGTCTCATCATCTCCTCAGTATCAACTCTGCTTTTCAGGTTTGTGTTCATGACCTGCTGTGGACCACCCCTTAAGCACAGCCACCTTAAATTGGAGCAGTGGAACTAGCTGCCTCCCTGGGTGATGACCCACCTGTTAGTGGTTGGTCCCCTAACTGAAGCTGGGGACCGCATGTTGGAGAGTTTGGGGAGGGATTTAAGCAATAGGCAGGGTGATGTCTGGGGAGGCCTCCAAGGCTCCCCCAGGCCTGAGAGCCAACAGAGCCTTTCTCAGATGTGCTATGTGATGCATGGATGGCTGGTGTCAGGATGGCAGGTGACATTGTGGCTGGTCTGCCCAGGAAAAGTGGCACAGCCCCCTAGGATATTTGCAGCCCGGCACCTCCCCCTCAGGCCACTGTTCCCACACTGTGCAGGGGAATAGGGGATACAGCCCCATCACTTCCAGGTCCCCCGATGGCCACACCCCGTGCTCAACCTGCTGACATTGGGCTGCATGAGGGTGAGGTGGTCTGGGGCTCAGAGTCCTGCTTTCACACCTAGCCAGGGCCTCTGAGCAGCCGGCACAGTCTGGTTGCTCCCTCAAGGGCTCTAGGCCAAGTGTCTGGAGGTCCCTGTGATGGTCTAACCTGCCTCCCTCCTCACATGGCACAGGCTTATGTCCACACAGCTGCACAGGCCTGGGCAGGACAGCAGCAGCCTTTTCTCACTTGGTGACCAAGCCTTTTCTCAGTTGGTGACTCCTGTTCTCCTAGCAGATTAGGGGCATGGTCTTACCCTTCTTCCATCCCCCTGGTGTGAGTCAGGACTGGTTTCCAAAGCACAAGTTAACCAGAGCCACAGGGCCAACGTGTTACCCCATGGCTCTACCAAGAGCACCAGGGCTCCTCTGCAGAGGCTATTGAGTCCTCACAAAGGGACCCCTGGCTGCGTCATCGCCAGGACATTTCATTAAGGGAAACACAGAGGCATCTCAGGGGAGCCCAGCCAATAGTACCCATCCTGGGGCCTCATTTTGTCCTTTGGAGAATGGCCAGGCTGAGGCAACCCTGAGGATACCAGGGACCCTCCTGCCTCTGCTGCCCGGGGACTTTGTGCTGTCGGGGCAGGGTGGGTAGACAGCCTGGTGGAGCCCAGTCCTTGGGAGAGAAAGAAGCCAAGCCTAGTGGGGTGGAGCTGGGGGTCCTGCAAAGAAGCCTCTGCAGGGCCCCTTCTGCGTTCCCCCTTCCCAACCCCAAGCTGGGGTTCATCTCCACCTCTCCCTGAGCCTCAGGTCTCCCTCTCTGCAGGGTGCCCCCATGGAGGATCCTCACTATTCCTTAGTGGTGTTTGATCACCAGGATGCTACAGCCAACGGGATGTCTGTCCAGAGGCCCCGGGATGTGGAGCCGGAGTACAGTGTGATAAGGAAGCCAAGGCCTTAGCTTCACACCGAGCTCCCTTTGGCCCCCAGGACCCCCAGGGATGGCTCCTGTAGCCTTCACCCATGTCCCCCTCAGCCTCCTGTCCTCAATAGTGGCACAGGCAGCTGTCCCTCTTGTGCTGTCAGCCAGGCTGACTTCACTGAGGGCAGGCAGGAGCACGGGTTCTGAGGGGCAGTCTCCTCTCTCCTCTTTGTCCTCTTTAATCCGGGCTCTTTGTGTGGAGGGGGCATCTCCTCCATCCAGTGCCATGTGTCTCCAGAAAAAGACATGGCTCACATCGGCTGGCACTTGCCAATAGCTTTGTGAATCACAGCCCCATAAGAACGGCTGGCACTGCTTGGGCTTCAAAAGAACTGGCGAGAAGAACCAACAGAATGCAAAGGAGGGCATATGACCTCATGCAGGGGACACAGGAGCACTAAAGACCCAGCCCTCCCATCTCACAGACAAGGAAACTGAGGCCGAGAGAGATGAGAGACTTGTATATGGCTCTGGAACTGGTAGCAAGTTGCTGGGGACTCTTATATAGGTTTATTTTTTAATATAAGGTGTATAAATAAAGTTTCAAATATCTTATTGAGGGAGAAGAAAAAAGCTATTTAAACAACGCCTGCTGTGTGTCTGTGATCTTGCATTAAGAAAAGCTCCTGGCTTTCATACCTGGTGAGTGCAGAGAGCCTTCCCAGATGCAGTGTGTTGGGGACAGCATGACTAGTGTCCTCAGTGAGTGGGAGAGGATGGTCACAGACATGTCTCTCCATCATGGAGGGTTTTCTTATGGGGAGATTTTAAATTTGATTCAAATAGTTACCCAGGCTGTTGTGAGTCTGTAGCAGCCAGCAATGGCTTTAAAACCATGGGGTGTGGGCCTCCCAGCACTTTCAAAAGAGTCTTCAAGTAAGTGGCCTCCAGTGGGTGGAGAGACACTGCTGCGGTGTCATCTTCGGAGTTTTAGTTATTCGTGTGTACATGTGAGTCACCACCAGTACTTTCTCTCCTTTGTTACTAACGTCCTGAGATGCAGAAGGGGGAACACGTGGGTGTGCACACACACACATGCACACATACGCTGGTCCACAGCAAGGCCTCCACTTTGGGGAAGGAGTGTTGCTGGGTGTCAGCAGCAGGGCCTGTGCCAACCTTCAGCTCTGCCCTGGGGCCTCGGCCCAAACCAGTCAGAGAGGCTGGACACTGGTCCTCCTCCTGAAGGAGCTGTAGGTGCCATCCATCCACCTAAACCCTACACTGGCAGGTGTCACTCCATCCCTCTCAGGAGCAAGTGGGCAAGCTGTGGCCAAAACACCAGACACACGGGCCAGGCCCTGACGCAGTCAGCCTCTGTGCACCTGGCTGTGGTAGGAGCAGGGGGAGGGAAGAGCCTCCTGGGGAGCTGACGCCCCTTCCATGGCTGAAGCTCCCATCCCCCTTCCTTTATTTACTTCTCTGCCCAGACTAGTCCAAGGCAGCATTCATTCTCTCACTCATTCATTCCACAGCACTCACGATGGCCTGCTCTGTGCCAGGCAGCAGGCTGGGCCCTGGGGCCAGGGGGACACGTGACACAGTCAGGCCTAGAGGGAGTGGAGGCGCTGCTCCCACCCCCAGCCTGTGGACAGTGAGGAAGCGTCTCTGCAGGCTGCCTGTCCCCCACTCAGGGGAGGTGCCCGCTGGAGTCCATCTGAGCTAAAGAAAACTCAGACATTCCATTCTCAAGCCAGACAGGGGCCCCAGGTTTATTAAAATGACAAGGCAATTGGTCCCCTGTTTCTTCTGTGCCCTAGGCTTGGAGAGAAACTCATGGGGGGTGGGGAGCATGGGGTGGAGCCTCTGTCACGCACCCTCCCCATGTGAACGGCTTCCTCTGTTTGGAGCAGTAAAGCCGCATTCAGCATGAGTCTAGACAGTGCCACCTGGGAGAGTCAGCCTGTCCTCGGGAGGTACGAATAGTCACAGGAAGTCACAGGGAGTGTGAGGAGGCTTGTCATCTCTCAGCAGTAGAGATCACAAAAGGGATAGAATTTGGGGTGTCCCAACCCAGCTGGGGTGTCTACTGGGGTCCCCTAGTGCTATCATATTGGTAATAGAGTAATGGGCCCCAAAGATGCCCACAGCTTGATCCCCAGAACCCACGTCCCTGCACGGTGCCGGGGCAGCCCTGACACCAAGGTGGTTGGCAGGTGGGTGAGGAAAACAAGCTTCTTGGGCAAAGAGAGCGAGGTCATGTTGGGCAGGGTGCCCCGGAGGAGGCCCCGTGAGGATTTTGTTATCCCTTCTCTTGGCCTCTGGTGACAATCGCAAGGAAGATCCAGTTTGGTTTTTTTTTTTTGAGACAGAGCCCCAAGCTATCCCCCTGGGTAGAGTGCCATGGCATCACAGCTCACAGCAACCTCCAACTCCTGGGCTCAAGCGCATCTCCTGCCTCAGCTTCCCAAGTAGCTGGGACTACAGGCGCCCGCCACAACGCCCGGCTATTTTTTGGTTGCAGCCATCATTGGTGTTTGGCGGGCCTGGGCTGGGGATTCGAACCCGCCACCTTAGGTGTATGTGGCTGGCACCTTAGCCGCTTGAGCCACAGGCGCCGAGCTGGAAGGTCCAGTTTTAACGTAACTGTCAGATGTTCTGACTCCACCCAGGTGTCTGCACCTTGTCAGCCACATCTGTCATGTGTGTGCGCTCTTGGGTTGGTGTGGTCATGGGAACTAAGAGGTGGGGGTGGTGTAAGTTGGCCTCATCCCTCCACCTTGAGGTCCCTGAGGCCACCGGACACCTGTGACAGCAGCATTGGAGGTACAGGGGGTTGCAGCCTGTTGGAAAGGATGAGATGGATGAGTTCCCTCCCCCCCACACAAGTGATACCAGGTGGGGACTGGGGCTGAAAAGGTGCCTGTTACAGAGGACAGAGCACATGGCACACCAAGGGAAGAGGCCTGGTGGGAGGACCAGGCAAACCCGGTGTCCTGGGCTAGGTGGGGGTGGGGGTACCAGAGAAGCCGGGTGTCCTGGCCAGTGGTGAGGTTAGGGGCAGGACGCGCAGATCGCCTGCAGCTTGTCAGACTTTCCCTCCAGTTCTGGTGTTCCGCTCAGTTTAGCTGGCATCCCCCGGGCCCAGCCCCGTAGCAGCATCACTCAGCCTGCCGTGGGCCCTAAGCGTACACTCCTCCTGGGCCCCAGTCTGGCCACTTTCTGGCTCTCCTCTGTCCCACAGAGCCCTGTCAGCTGAGCCTTCTCCTCTTGCTTACATCCTTGCTTTCACTTCTGCAGCTTTTCTGGCAGAGACCCTAGTGTCCTGTGAGTCCTGGCCCCCACCAACTTTGTCCTTTTCCTCCAGGGACAAGAGTCCTACCCCTGCGGGCACTGGGGTCATTTGTTTTCGACATCCTTATCTCTGTGATGACACTGCACAAGGGTCTGTCTGCAGAGACCCATAACTTTGTATTTGGATACTGCTTGTGGCAGACATTGTGTGTGGCTGACCCCATATCTCACCTAGCCATCTTTCAGCTGGGCCTGGCCATGGGATGTAGGTCTATCCAAGGACAGGCCACCAGGTAGACCTCCAGGAAAGCCACTTAAAAGGAGCACACCTGGCTAGTATGTGCTTAACCTTCTGCCCCTCTATTGTTGCCCTCCATTCTGCCTGGAACACAGACATGATGGCTGGAGGGACAACCACCACCTTGCAACCATGAAGACAAAAGCTAACATGGCAAGGGGGGGGGACAGAGAGAAATGCCCTATTTCCTGAGGGCATTGCTGGACCCTGAGCCAGCCCAGGGCCACCTACTCCAAATTCACATGGCATGAGACAAATAAACTTCTCTAACATCTTTACGTCACTGTTTGTGGAGTTTCTGCTAATTACAGGATATTTCATTCTAAATCAATGTAGTATTCTAACCCAGCTCCTTTTCCTATTTTGAAAAGGATGTTTGCTGGTTTGGCGATCCAACAGTATGTTCCAATCATGGCAATATTCACTTATTCCTCCAGCTACTCATCAGTTCAACAAATATTCACTGGACACTCATAGGTGCTATTAACTACAGCAGTGAATACAGGAGGGAAAAAGATGTTCCATCTCTGTCCTCAAGGGACCTACAGACTAAATTACAAAATTGCAGGAGGAATAGGAGGACAGCCCCACCCAGATGGGTCAATGGCAAAACAGAAAGATCAAGGATGGGCCACACAGTATACGGTTGGCCACATAGTTCAAAACTTATATAAACCATTCTCCTTTAGTTCACATAGGGGAATTTAAAGCATGATGATGAAGGAGACCCCACAGAGAAAGCGTGTGGTAGATGGGAAAACCAGCTCCTTATACTGATCAAAACAACCTGGGTCTCTATACACCTGAACCCCCAGCCAAAGATGGAAAACAGGCCGTGAGAACCTGTGAACAGGGTTTCCCAATCATTTTCTTACTTTGAATACTCAAATGCAGAAAGCCATAAGCCAGGCAGAGGGGCAGCCAAGACGGGGAATTCCAGGATGGATGGGACCAATACCATCTGCACCCCCTGTTTCTTCAGGGGAAAGCCATCTCCTTGGGTTCTTGGGAGGCGCCTTTGGGTCTGAGTTCCTTCCTGCCTCTTAGGGACTGAAGGACAGAGTGAGTCACTTGTTGCCGTATCTCCAGTTATCTATAAAAAGGGGGAGCAGCCTGTAATTCTTTATAGTCTGTGGTGAGGATAAGATGATAGCAAAGAGCTGCAGCCACATGACTCGAGAACACATGTGGTCCTTGTCAAGTGCTGCCCTGCCCCACAGCCTGCCTCCTCGGCCCCTTCACCCCCCAAGGCCCAGAGCAAAACCAACACCCCCACTCCAGCCTCTGCCGGTTGTTCCTACATTAAGGCAACTGACACTGAAGATGCTGCATCGTCAGGCCTTCAGCTAAAGAGAGGAAGCTGTTAACCCCGAATCATCAAATCATCACTTCTGCAGAGCCACAGGGGGCTGGCGGGGAATCCTTTCTCTATCAGAAGGCTGTCCGATGCTCCTCCCCTATCCCATCACACACACACAGAGGAAGTAAAATTAAATTTTTTAAAAAACCATTAAAAATTAAATTAAAAGAAACACAGTTTTGAAATGCTAACTGGTACATTTCTGCAGTTCTTGTGATTCCTTCTAATCGATTCTGCCCGCTGTCGTCATTGAACCAGAAAAGGAGTGAGACTGCAGGAAGCGGAGAATAGGGCTGGTCTTGCTGTTTTCAAACCTTCAAGTCTTTGGAATTCTCAAATGTGCATGGGCCACAGATTTGAGGAAACAGTGAAGGGCACGAGAAAACTTCGCAGACCAGAAAAGGGAGGCCTGGGTTGCAGAGGGGAAGAGGTGAGGGCCAGTGGGGTTGCCAAGGGAACCTGCCCTGGGGACCTGCCCAGAGACGCAGCCACTCGCCACCGCTGGCATGGAGTGGGCCTCAAAATGGGCCAGTTCAAACCGACATGGGCTGTGAGTCTCCAACTTAGAGCAAATGAAGGAATGTAAAATATCTGATTGATAATTTAACACGATTTTACACAAATTTACATCCGTTAATTTAATAACAAATTAGTAACTGTTAATAATTTGGACATATT